AGAAGTTTCACTTTTATTCTAATCCTACTAAGCAGTTTTTTCAGGTAAGAGCCAGAAAAATATTTCCTGCCCTGGGTCTGTTTAAGGGCAAAATGTTCCTTCTTCATCCCATCGTTTTAAAAATCCCCCAATTGCAGCCTGACTTGAGGAGGGAAAAACATGAATCAGAAGACAAAGGCATCCTGGACAGACTCTGAGCTCTTAACGTGATAATTACTTTTTAAGTTCAGTGTTGCAGTTTATTTTCCCCCGGGGAGATCTGCTTTCCTCTGGACTCCAGACCCAGTCAACTTTGACTTCTGCACCAGCTGTGAGCCCATAGAAATCTATATTTATATTTATTATGAATGCAAACCTCTGGAGACAGTGGTGAACGCAGCCAAAAATACTGTGGTGTGTGTGTGTGTTTTTATTTTTTCTTTAGTAGCTAAACTTTTGACCTGCACCCAAGAGGGGTAGGGAAAAATGAGGCAAGAAACTACTTTCTGCAAGTCCTCATCTATAATACAACAGCTCGTCTTTCCCAAGGCCCTGAATACATACAATAGGGTTACCAGCCCTTAGCCGCTGATGCCAAAGGATCTTTATTTGGGTGAAGTGGGAGATGGCTGGCATGTCCACTGGGAGGTGGGCTTCTTGGGAAGAAAATGCCCTAGCATCACCCGAGTCTGCAACCTACACATCTGAAAATTTTTAGCCTGGGAACTGGATAGGAGCAGCCATTATCAGCAACGGATCGGCAAACTATTATGATTAGTTACTAATATGGTAGGGCGAAACAACGGGGAGGATCATGCAATTTATACAGAGGGTGTACCAATAAACTTCAACCAGCTTCTCTCTTTCTTCTTGGTTCCAGGTCTCCAGCGCTGCTCAGGAGTAGGCCTTAAGTTTCTTGCTCAGAAATCTGTTCTCCTTTCTTTTCTGCTTTGGTAAACGCTACACCAAGGGATGTGCAAAAGAGGAACAGGGCAAGAATGTCCTGCTTTCCTGATCAAAGCCCTCTGAACTGAATTCAGAAAAATCAGCGTTGCCCTCTTAAATCTCAGTTTAACTCAAAAGAAACTTCAAAATGCACAAAGAAAATGGGGGGGGGGAGAGAGAGAGAGGGAGTGAGTTGTGTATAACTTTATTCTGGAAGGTCTCTTGTTTAATTCAGCTTCTTATTCTCTCCATCTGTGTGCACACCATACTCTGAAGCATTCTTTAATCAGTTAATCCAGTTTGGGGGGCTGCTACATTCATATTGAACTATAAACCAACTTGAAAGTTTGGTTTTCTACAGCACAGGAAGATACAGAAATAACTAACCAAGTTTACAACTAGCCAGATTTAGCGTGTTCTTTCGGGAAATAAACGTGAAATGAGAGACTACCATATTAGCCAGGTGATGAGGCTCAGCACTGACATGTTCTCAGAATGATTTCCGTGGTGAAATTCTTCCCGGCAAGATTGTTTAAATCTTATTTCCCCTGCACAGAATCCTGCCTAGATCTGATTCCCAGCCCGCTCTCAAATTCAAATCCTGGGGTGATTCTCCAAGTTTCCCATCCTTTCACCTTAGCTGGGTTTCTAAAAACTAAATGGCACGGAGGGAAGCCTCGGATCAGGACATGCCTATGTTAGTTACTTTTATTCATGGTTAACTGTTGGCAGCTGAGCTCAATTCACAGGGAGTGGAATCTTGCCCTAGAAAGCAAAAGATTTAAAAGCAGCCGGTCAGGGGGCAGCGTTTGCAAAGTGGACGGATTTGGATAGTGACAGATTGGACGCCAGCTGTTTACTTTCAGACCATAACTAGATTTCCCCTTGCTGGGCCGGAGCTGTGTGGACAAACTCGCCAGCGATCGATAAAGAAGGCAAGGGGCTGAGGTATTGGTCACCCTCCGGATCAGTCCATGGCGCATTTTCTGCTGCTGGAAATGGGGACCTGCGTTGCTGAAGTGGAAGTTGCTTGTCTGCCGGTGGGAGGACACACACAGGCAAAGCAGGTGCTCGCTAAGCAAAGGAGGGCCATTCTCCCCCCCAGACTTCTAAAGCAGAAACTTGCTCCCCCAGTTACAACAGGCATTTCCAGTCCCCTCATAGTTTCCACCTAGACTTCTTTAAGGATGCTGCATCCAGAGGTCCACTGTTTCTAACCTAATGCATCTGGATGACTTTCGCCATTTCATTTCCACCATTTCCTTAATCGCCACGTGCTTGCAAACACCTACACGTTTCTCCCTGAAGCAAGGAACCCTCTGGTCGAATACCTTCTACCGCGTCCCCCGTCCCTTAAAAACCCTCTTCGTTCTCCTGGTTACCTTTTTCTCTGAGTTTAAAATTACCCAGGAGAGTAAAAATAGCTCCACCAGCTGTGACGTAACTGTTGTCCACAACCCACTTCCTGCGTTTAACCGCTCGCTTTGCTAATGCCACCCTGTTCATGGCTTGTCTATCGGCAATGGTTGTTTGGGCTCCTCTTTGATATTTGTTTTTCTTTAACCTGACCCTTCTATTTTCAATGGCCTGGTCAGAAATTACATCACAGCGAAATCCTGCGCAAATCGGGGGCCTTCCATAGGAATGGCAGCAGTGCAGGACGAAGCCACTGGAGGGAGTAGTGGTGGAGTCCACTGGCGGGCTTTCAGCTTCCAGTTTCTGTAACTCCAGCCTTATTATCACACGCATGCAATTATGGACTTCCTCCGAAGGGGAGAATCCTGAACAGATGGACCTGTGTCTGCAGCGCGGGAGAGAGCGAGAAAGAGGAAAGGCCATGGCTGGAAAAAGCATGAATCATCCAAGATAAAATTGCTGACTTGGGCGAGCTCTACGCCCAAGATGCTGTGGTACAGTTGCTCCCAATTTAGTGTCGGTCCCGCTGTGGGTAAGCCTGCACGGGAATCATTTCTGGAGCAGGACAGCTCTGGAAAAGCCTGCCTGGTTTCTGCGTTGGACATGCAACATACCTGAAGAATGAGGTGCAGGGGAAGAGGGCTCTCCATTACAGCTGGCACGAACAACGCGTGGGTCCCTGGCTTGGAGGTTTATTAGCCTGCAGAATGGGGACGGGGCAGAAGTCACGGAGTTTCCATTTGAATGCAAATGGGCTTGTGCGCTTTCGAACAAAACCGACGTGTCCTATTTGGGATTCAGCTTCATCTGAATTTTGCAAAGCAGCTTCCCTGTAGAAAAAGTAACACCCAACACAGACGCATCTTTGCAAACGTGACTTAGATCAGGAAGAATTGTTTGCCAAACCTCTGTAGGTTCTACAAATAACACTGTGTGCGCTTGGAGGAGGGGGCCCCCAAATATACACAAATGTTAGTATAAAGAAAACAGGATGGGGGGAGAGATGAAATCTGGTGGTGGAGATTTCAGTAATGATGCAATGACATGAAGATGGCCATCTCTATCAAGCTTATTGTCCTTTGGTGCCAAGCAGAATTGGAAATATCAAAGTCAGAGTGGACCTCGTTATTTTGAGTTTTCCACTGAAACTGTAATTCTCTTGCATTTTATGGAAGTGAGAGATGGACTTTGAAGAAGCAGAATAGGAAGAGTATTGACACTATTGAACGTTGGTGTTGGAGAAGACTCCTAAGAATACCTTGGAGAGCTGAGAAAATCATCATTGAATGGATCATCAAACAAATCAACCCAGAGGTCTCTCTCGAGGCACCAATGACCAGGCTCAAATTATCCTACTTTGGACACATCATGTGAAGACCCACCTCTCTGGAGAAGGCTGTGATGCTGGAAAGGTGGAAGGAGAGAGAAGAGGATGACCAGCTGAAGGTAGATGAACATTACAGTGCCAATGGATGCACTGTGGGAAGACCTGAAAGACCAGGTTAGGGACAGGTCATCATGGAGGAAAATCTACCTATATGGTCACTAAGAGTCGACAATGACCTGAAGGCATGTAATCACTCACTCACTCACTCACTCACTCACTCGCTCCAGCTTTGAAGTTCCAACTAAAACTATCCAACCAAACGCACCACAGGAGGGACCACAGATAAAACGTTCTGCTTCTCCTTGGAAAGAGTTCTCTGCAATTCTAGTGTTCGATCTGATTATACATCAGGCCAGTCAAACTCATATAGTACACCCCACAAGTAAGAGAAACAGTTGCAACAACCACAATATCCCTGAGGCTGTTTCCAGAGGGTTCACTGCATTAAGACTTTTGACTGCAAACGCAACTATTTTTATGGTTCCCTAGGTACAAACAGATTTGTTCTGGTGGCAGCTTTCTCAAACCAGAACACATTATGGTAGATGTCTAAAGCTTTTTTCAACTTATTCTGTGCCCTCTTGTGGCCACAGGAATACAAATGGATCAGATATAAGGCCGCAGAGTTATCGCTGGGTTCTCTGTTAGCGTACAGTATGATGCATGTATCTGGAAGCATGTTCGTTTACTTAATTTTGTTTAGGACCAGCAAAACCACAGTGCGTGGAATATCAGCACGAGATCCCTGAATTGAGAGACCTCCTGGCTGTAGACACAATAAGTAAATAAAAAAGTAGTAGATGTTCAAGAAAAGCAGAGTTTGATACAATTGTAGACAAACAATACGTCAGCAAAAATGAGTTAAATTTAGGTCACTGTGTATTTTGGCTTTGTCATTCATGAACATTTTAACATGGGTAGAAGCCAAGGTGTTTTCAAGGCTTGATACTTGTAAATATAAACCAAAAGGAATTAAAAATCAACTAAAAATAGTCAGTTTGATTTTTCTACCAGTTGACATTTCAGTTTGAAATACAGCAAAACCACAAGATGAGTTCAAAGCTTTCCACTACCATGAACTTATTTTTCAAACATGAGAGCAAAAAGAATAAAAAAACAAGTATTGAAAGAGAAATATGACAAAGACAAAAATACCAACCCCCCCCCCGGGTTCAAGTAACTACTAATAAGTAGTAGCAATGGGTACCTGTACAAACATATACACAGTTAACAGAATTATTCATGCTGCTTAAAAAAGAGAGGTACCACTGAATATTTTACAATATTTATTGGAAGTGGGGAAACTAACTCTCCACAGTGAGATTACAATAACGGAGGCACAACTGGCCCAAATGTAGTACTTATTACAATTCCAAACAAACACTTTCAAAACCAAAATGCTAAATGTGTGGAAAATGAAATGTCCTCTTAGAATGAAATATTCTCTAGAGTTCTTCCCCCTCCCCTCCTTAGACAGACAAATAATGGCAGAGATCCCGTGCTGTACAGGTCAGCACAATCCCATGTCAAATTCAGTGCTATTATCTTACCCAAAGGGGGGGAAAAACTCAAAAATGTATTTTGACAAAAAGAGCATGTGGGTTACTTACAAACATTCAGAATGGGAAGCATACATTTTTGGCAGACAAGGTTGCCTATTCAATACAGACTAGCCAGCACTCACGGAACATAAAAAAGGGTTTCAATCATAAAAAAATACTATAATTCATCACCAGACTTTTTTTTTTTACAGTTATAAATAATAAATAGCATAACACAGTAGATTACAAGTGGATCTCTTTTCTGTTTGTTAAGCCTGGTTAGATCTTAAGAAGTAAATAAATCATTTGCTGTACCCCAAACTGAGCTAAGGTACTACAGGTTATTCCTCCTGGCTTATGTGTCAGCTCCTTAAGTACAAATGGAGCTTGCAGCCAAACAAACAGGAAGCCTTCCTGGCAATTAATGTTGGCTTATGGCTGCTCTTTCTCAGGCAAGCCTGACGCAGCGTGGTGCAACCCCAAATAGCCGAGAGAATCTTCTCCTCTTCTGGGACCTCAGGAGCAACCAAGGAGCAGCAGGAGGGGCAATAGCACCTGATTCAAGCCCTCCTTACAACGAAAGTCTTTTCCCTCCACCCAGATCCTCAGCTTACATTCCTCCATTTTTTTACTAGGTCTCCTAAGGCACAAACATTTCTCAGTGCCACGGGAGACACCGACTATCTGACATATTCTACTTGGTAGCCTAAACAGTTGTGGCTAGTAACTCCCACCTTCCAGCTCCCCTTGGCCAAAAATATTTTTGCAACTACTGATGGCCCCTGCAGCCTTTGAAGCCATCTATGTAAAACCCCAAAAACAGCAGGTGTGTTAAATTTCCTCCCGCTGCAGCCGATATTCAGTTGCAACAGAGCCATCGTTCGCAAAGTGTTCAAGCTTCCGAGGCTATGGCAGCCACTGCCTTGAACTACAAAGGACAGCTTGCAACCTCTCCCTCTTCTCTGGAAATTAAAAAGTAGAAGATGCAACTGAGAAATAAAGAACAAGTTCCTTCTATAAAATAATTTTTTAAGTGTGTTGTGTATGAAGGGGGGATAAGGCCCAGAGTATGCCACTTGTCCAGCAGAAGCACTTCATTTTTTTCTCTAAATGAATTTCTAGAGCAATCTAGGTTATTCCTTTAAAAAAGCATGTTGAACAATGACATTTTCTAACAATTCTCTCACCACCATATTCTTTACCTCCAGAACCAATGACCATGATAGCAACACCAAAAGGTTTCCCCACCTACCATTTTAACACTAATATAAATTAGGTGCTTGTTTGAAAATTCTAAAAAGCATTGCAGTTTCTTTGAAAGCAAAGTTAGTATGATCTGAACAGATACTGGTAAAATAATGTGTTGGTTTAAACAAAAAAGCTGCAAAACCAGACAGCAAAGGAACCATCGGAATGGCCTGATGTGTCGGCTAAAGAGAAAGGTAATCAAAACCACTTGGAGAAGTTGCCAAGAAACAAAGTTGCATTAATATTTCCACTCAGTACTTAAAATCCTCAGGTCCTCAAGGATTTATTTCTGTGGGCTTCTCGGTACGTATGTACAGTGAGAGAACAGCGCAGGCAGACACTGACAGACACCTGGGAAAAGTCACTTGGGCGAAAGATCATCCATCAAGATGAAGGAAGAGCACGAATTGGAGCACGCGAGGGGCGATTCTGTCGTGGTGCTGCCTTTGGCCAAGGAGTCGGAGGAAGAGCTGACGCTGCTTGTGCTCCCATCCAGAATATCTGAAGACAAACTGGGGAGAAACCAGAAAAACCACAGAGTTTATTCATGATATGTGCACTCTGAATAAAAAGATGGGCCAATTGTCCTTTTTGCAGAATGCCCCTTGAAACAATATCATGACGTAGAATAATTGCCAGAGACACCTGCAGTCCTATATTAAAGAATGGGGTAGCATTTTTAAGCTAAATGGGGGAGAGGGATCAAATTTAAACATTAAATATTGTTTATCTCATAGTGTCACTCATAGAGGTCAAGGGACTTTCATGCTTGCCATCTGCAAAGGTGCCAAGTTTGCCACCTTCTTTTATTCCGAATGAAGAACTGACAGGAGGTGGGAAGTCTGATTTTCTCTTTTTGATCTAGCCTTCTTTCCTGAATGTATCACGTGGGTCTCCTGACTTCCATGATAGGTAAGGGCTTATGTACCCACACTCACCTTTTGCTTTGCTCTAACAAGTTTGCCTGTACACATTCTTAATGGCTAAGCATTTAATCCATTCAGGAGTTCCAGCAGGTCACCTCAACCTCATGGTGTCAGTGGCTTTGCTGCAAAATGTTTGCATGCATGGGGGTGACGCTGAAATCCCAGCCTTGTTTCTAGCAATCCAGAATTAAGACTGGTTTCAGGATTCAGGTGAGGTAGGAGACTGAGAAATTAGGTCTAGCTTCTTCAACTGGCAACCCTAAACCTCCCCACCTGTCAGATTTATTTTCTCCTCCCTGCTTGTCAGAGGAGCCAAGTGAGAATCTAATGTACCATGACGGACAGCAAAAAGACAGGACTCCAAAGAATGCCGACTCAGCACTTGGCCCAAACACAGCTGCTGACCAGCAGCCGCTCTCCAGCGTATCAGACAAGAGTGTGCCTCATTTCGACCTGAGGAACACCACAGACTGAGTTTCAGAACTTCTGCACTTGAAGCAAATGTTCTCTCCAAAGCAGTGCAGCCCTTTCCAAAGCCCAGCGGTGGCTCTGCTTATTTGATCCATTAATTTCTTAGTCTGGGCCACATACGTTATGTACACTATATGAAACCATGAGCAGCGGCCCCAATTTCCCTGGCAACCCATTCTAGCCTGACCATCGTAAGAGCACAGTTCTTTCTGCTGAAATAATTTACCATGAGCTGAGGTCAGTCAGGTGTGTCACATCAGGAGAAAGCATGTTCGTGGTTCCTTGGAAAAGTCTCTTTGGCTGGCTTTCAGTTTCCATTTCACCTATGGGAACCAAGCCATTCTTATTAAATTTGAGAAAGAAGCTTTTCTATAGTAGTAGTCCTATCATCCATCTCACATAGATGCACTTTGCCACAGGAGACAGACAGTATCAGTATGACACAGAAAATCGAAACTTTGTAAGAACAAATTGAACTAAAAGAGATGCTCTATGAACACATAAAGGGTGCCTTATTCTTGACGTTTAGCAGGTAGGAAGCGTCCCTCCAATTCTCCTTCTGAAAAATAAGGCTTGGCAAAATCTACCACAGTATATGTCTGTTTTTCAAAAGAAGGAAGTTTAATCCTCTTCCAAAGGAATTCACTTGGAATCTCTGTGAATCCAACAACATCCCCAGTTCATATCCCAATCTTTTGCAGGTTCTTTTTTTCCTTCATCAAGCAGAAGATGACAAACAAGGAAAGTGGTCCTTCTACTTTCTGGTTAGAAACAAAGAGCGAGAGAACAGGAGAGATACTATCAACAACCATCTCCCCCACTGAGAATTCTTGCTCGTATGATCAAAGACCAAGTTCCAAGCCTTTTTCTGCTTCTTGCTTGTTGGCTGCTGAGCAGATTTGTGGAAGGCTTCTTTCATAGCAATACTGGGATCAGCTAGGGACTGTGTAAAAGAGCATGTACAATTCAAGAATCTGTGTTTTTATGTAGGAGAAATATACTACCATTCAGCCTCTACTTCAAGGCTGGTGGCCCTGAAATCTCCTTGTTTTGTAGCGCTGAAGGAATATGCATTCTCCTTGGAACATAGAAGAATGATAAATTTCCATCACGCGGAAAAACAGGAAGACCATCCTTCTTGGTTACAAATATAGCCAGCCTGTGCCCAAGAACTCCACACAGATCTCTCTGTAAATTGAGATTACTCCACCAGGAGGAAGTGATTGAGAAAACAGGCCCTCTCCCAAATACACACCAATCTTTTGCCATGACACTGTAAGGGAAGATCCTTGCACCGTCTAATATTTGATATACTTGTCAATATTTTGGAAACACCACATACCTTTCCTTTTAATAGGACCAAGTACACTAGGCCTGATACAGTTGATTGGGCTCTGGCTCCTCCTGCTAAAATCAAAGTTGAATTATTGTCTTTCTAGGATGTTGAAGACTCCGAAGATTATAAGGAAACGCATGCCTGAATTATTTTAAAATCAATATAATTATGTATTGGCTCCAGAAACAGAACATCCCCCTTTCTGTCAGCCTTAAAAGCTAGGTAGCCAAAGGATTCTGGGAGCTGAAGTTTAATACACTTGGAAGCAACCAGTTTGGAGAGAACTGACAAGATGTTTTGCTTGTCAGATGGAAACAACAATATTTTAAAGCAAATATATGACCAATGAAGAGCTTAAGGTTAAGATGCATTCAGTGTGCCAACTCTTTGTTTCACAAGCAAGTTACTTGACTGAGTTTAATTCTTAAAAAAGCAAAGCTAGATTTTCCAGATCTCTACCTTCCTGGATTCATGCCTCACCCCATCCAGGAACCCTTTGGGGATATGATGTGTAAATTTCATCTGCACTGTTTTACTGTTGCCACGTTGCCAGCTTTCATCATCTATTCCTGTCCTGTTAGTTCTACCTGCCAACTGGGCATAGCAACTGCCTGAGACCATTGATGGTGCCAAACAAAACTAGCACCATCATTTGCTTATGATATGCTTTGCAAGCTTTTCTGACAAAGGAGGCATCTGTAAATAATAGTATTAAAATCCCACTTTCCCTACTCTATTTCAAGATCAAGGACAAAGTTGTACAAACCGACCAATATATGGTTCACAATTCACTAGAGACAAAAGGACAGAACACTGTAGCTCTTCTGAAAGATGCTTAGCTTTGGGTACTCTGCATACTCCAGGCTAGTCTTCCTGGAGGCTACAGAACTAAACAGAAAATGAACCTCTTTCAGGAGGTTTCAATACAGACAGACATCCTTGTGAACTGATGGTCACGCTTCTTAGAAAAAGACAGCAACTTGCAGCTTTCTACAAAGAATTGTTCCACTGCACCGCTAAGGAAGAGTTTCCTACCTGCCATTTCAAGGAATGTCACGCTGGCCTTTCATTTTTACATGAGATGGTTAAAAGAAAGGCTATGAAATGGAGGACTACGAACTACAGATATAATCTACTGAGCACATCTACACAACTTCCACAGAAGGAAGCATCCAGCCAGAATCCATTTTAATGCAAGAGGTTCTTAGTATTTGGGACATTTGCTAATGTTAGCTCCACCCTTGGGTGTAGCCCTTCTGGCAATATTACAGCAGTGAAACAGTGTATTATTAAGAAGGTCTTGATGCTACAGACACATTAACTTACTTTGAAAATCTCCTTGTGGGACTAGGAATAGGGCTGGGAGGCAATCCATTACTGCTCACAAACATTTGCAGAGATGGTGAGAAACATTGCTAGGGAAGAAAAGCATGACATTTACATGGCATTTGAAATGACAGAAGTGAGAAATTCAGCAGCACGATCTGTGGACACATGGGGATCACAAAAAAGGGGATAGGATGGTACAGGTGGCCTCCTTGGCTAAGCCGTCAAGCGATACTCATTATTTTTGCTTCACACAATGCGTAATCCAGACTCACCTCTCAGAATGTACAATTGAGGACTATATGGACCAGTCTCCTGACTTGGTAGATGACTGATATGACTTAAGGTGTTATTCATGGCTCCCTGCACTGAGCAGATTACAGGGAACTTTAGGACTACTGATTATAGCTACAGCAGACATCTTCTGCTTTTCCTTCCCTGTCCTATTCAGCAGTGCATCATTGTTCTTAGATGAGAAAATATTCCAGCATCGACTTTCATACTTTCGTGATCAACAGGATATTGAGTCTCTGCAGCACTTTTCTCTGAACGTATGACAACGCCAGGTGAGATGTGATCCGGTGCAGCCTTCTTTGGGAATAAGCCCCTCCTCCCAAAGTAATGAGGGCTAACCAGGAATTGAAAGCATAGAATGTCATCCAAACTGAGGCTCCAACTGTGCTGCAGCCCTTACAAATCAGGATGACATTGTGTGTTGGATTCTTGGTGAATTTAGTTGCTCCCATTTGCAGGAGGAGCACAGTGGGAGCAAACAAGCTGTAAGCACTGACACAGAGCTCATTTGGGCTTTCATTCAAATGCTGTCCATGGAACAGAACACAAGAAATATTCAGTATTTGGACACCCTTTCGCCCCTACCCAAGATCTCTCTGACATACCTTTCCTATACCTCTGGTAGGTGAAGGGGCTGGAGAAACAGGAATGAAGTCTATTCTCTTTGGAGATGAAGATTTTTCAGATTTGTCCAAGTCGTTGTCACTCTGAGAACACAAAGCACCCCATTTATGGCTTTGTGGTAAGTGGCAGCCATAAAAGCTGAGCCATTCTAAGGAAAAGACAGGTGGAGAACCAGCCACTCCCCTTAAGCTACCTCTGCTCTCGCTCCTTACGTTCACTGGTTAAGTGAAGGAGTGGAATTAAAATATTAAACATCTGTAAAGAGATTACCAGGCTCAAGCTTTCTTCCCATGACTGGCTTATCTGCATTGCTGTTTGCACTTCCCTAAAACACAAAAAGGTTCATCAGTGGCTACAGCAGGACAAGAGAGGCCGCTTCTATAGAGCATTTGAATCACACCCACCTTTCATGGGCTGTTTCTCTGTTCATCAAGTCCACTCCTTCCTCCTGAGGAAAAGGAAGAATTAATGTCTCAGGGGTTCACACTTCCCGCCTAACTAATTCGCACTTTCTATCAGTGTGGTTAGAAGTAGAAAAATGCTCAGCAGAACCTTGGTGTCTGTGAGAATATTCCTTCTATCAAAAACTGCCTGCTTGCACTCAGAATGTAAGTGCATCCGAAAGCTGTGTTTGCCTCTACATGTTTTTCCTGCTTTCACAAAAGAATGCTCTAACAGCTAGAAGACTTTGAATAGGTATGATGTTAGATTTAGGTTGCCAAAAATGTAATTATGCCAGCTATATTTTGAAACAGTTAAAAAAGAACTTGCAGAGAAACTCAAGATATGTTGTTTTCATAGAGACAAGGAACCTGTTTTGTTCACTTACCCTTCTGATTTGATGGAGTCGACTACTAGGGATACGAATTGGAGATGATGATATCAGCTGGAAAAAAAATACATACAGACATTTCAAAAATTACAATTACCCTACTTCAGTTTTGCTTGAAGCTTAATCCCATGCAATGAATTCTGCACTGACAGAACCTTGCAACACAGGATAATCTGCAACTTCTGGAAACTTATTCTACTTGTTAATGGAGAATTTTGCTAAGTTAGAAAAAGTAAAAAGCAAACCAAAAAGCAAAACCAAAGAAAACCTACTCCCCACTTTCAAGAGCATATTTTCATGTTGGAGAAATATACTACCGCACAGCCTGTACTTCAAGGAAGGTGGCCCTGAAAACTCCTTGTTTTATAGCACTGAAGGAATACTCATTCTCCTTGGAAGGAAGAAGAATAACAGTTTCCGTCATGCAGAACCATGCCAAACACCCCTCAACTAAATATATTACAAAATGACAAATACGTTACAAAATAAAGTGCATTGCTCTGTGTGTTTCAACCACCACGAAAGCACATTAACTGAAACACTTTTTGCCAAAGCAGACAACACAATCTGCTTTGGCTAAGCAAAGCACAGCTGAATAGTTAACTACATATTTCAAAATCCAGGAACATTTTTAATGCTATTGAACCCAACCAAAAGTATGAAAGAAATTGCACACGGGGGCTTGACACTGGCTGTGTCAGCCTTTGGGAGGGGCATCTGGGCAACCACTCAGAATGTTGCTGGCAGCTCCATTCTAGGTCCTCTTCCCTCCTGGTCACGTGACTCAAGCAGGTCATGTGCTTGCCCATCCTGTACACACACACACACACACACACACACAAAGTACATACCCATGCCAATTTCTCAATCTCCTGGAAGCCTGAGTGGTTGTTATTCCCACGGCAAAAACAGCCTGACTTTTCCAAGCTGCTGCAGCGGCTTCATTCCCACCCAATTCCTCCTTCTCCAGCCCAGCAACTTTCCAGCGGGCTCCCACCTGCACACTAATCCTTGCATTATCTAGCTGCTGCCTCTTATGGGACCAACCCCTACAGCACTGCAGCCCGCCTGCCCATTTTCTCCCACAGTTGGCAGGTACTTGACAGAGCCTCCTGGGGAAAAGCTTTTCGAGGAAAAATTGTTTCAGATGAACTTTTTAACATGTTTATCAACAATACCCAAATCAGTTCAAATCTTGCTGAAAAGAGAACCGTTCATTTATCTCTGAAAACATTAATCCTGCAGCACTTACTATACATCACTCACTAGGTTTATTATATGGAGGAACAGATATAGTAAACTAACATGTTTTAATCTAACATTTGTACAAGCTGCTGCAATTTTATTTTCCACAATATTCTCAACTGAATTAGAAATGTCAATCTGGCAATAGACATTGTGGGCAGATTGCCCTCATGCTGTATAATTAGAAAGAATAGCAAATACAGAGTTATCAACCATAGTGGAAACTAATTTGGGGAATTGTGAACAAGCGATATGATCTCTTTATTACTACACACACTCCTGCTATTTTGTTTTCGTAAAACTTCGTTCAGATCTCCCCATTTTTCTAAAGCCATATACCCTAATTTTCTAATAGCTATAACACTTTTTAAAACATACACTATACTTTTTACAGCTAAAAATATGTTATACTATATATTAAAGTATTAATAATTATACACTAAAAATACTATTCATGCTTAGAAAAGTTTACATGTGACTGCCTTTCTGAAGCCTGTTGATTCTGCTGTATCTCTGCTGGGAAGGTTACTTGATGGGAGTGATTGACTGAGCCAGTCAAATCCAATGAACAGGTTTGCCTACAAGGCGCTGCACATTAACAGCACATTTGATGGAAAAGTTGCCAACACAGAGTGTGATACAACTGCAATGGGATGGGACATCACACAAGCCGCTGAAGCTTGGCTTTCAGTATGAACTTCACTTGCCTTGACATAACTGCAATGCAAGTAAGGGGTCAATTACCTTCCCAACCTACAGGGTTCAAAATCTTTTTGTGTCTCTCAAGCACTTACCATACTGTGTCGGTTCATAACTGTTGTGCTGTTCCTGCGGGTTCGTAAGACATAAGGCTGAAAAACCTGTGAATTATCACTGAAAGAAATAAAGCAGAACTGTCATAACTCTGCAATGCTTTTCCACCCTTCTTCTTCACAATTAATCTACCTTCCATCCTTCTCCAGTCTGCAGCCTTTCTCTGCTATGCACCTTAAGTCCTGCAAAGGAGACACCTGTCCCTTTGGCTTGAATTGTTCTGTAAGGTGCCGTGTAACTTGCCAGTGCCGTAAATATATAGGCTATATTCCTATCACTGCCTCCCCTAACCCTTGAGCATGAATGAAAAGCGGGAGCTCCTTAAAAGGTGCCAATGTAGAACTTTCAGTTGGGGGTGGCAGGGGAAAGGAAGGAGACACTACTGCAACAGCAGAGTATCACAAGTGGTGCCCTGAATCCCAACCCCACTAGTTGTTACCACACTTACTACCTGTAACAGTGGCATAATGGCTAAGAGTGTGATCTGTGAACCAAGAAGCCTCCAATTCAAATCTACAGCCACCATAAAAACACCCCCTTGCAGTATTTTGTCTTTAATAAGCAGCAAGTGCCTACAATGCTAATGAGTGGATACTCAAAGAACTGTGGTTGGATTGCCCTGCACAAGAAGTGGTTCTGCAGTAGGGGGAAGAGTCACATCTTGGTAACTTCCACCGCCAATCTGAAGATCAAGACTATCTAGGCCAACCGAGGCCATCTCACCATGCCCCATTACAACAAATCCCTTGGTTGCTTTATTTATTGATTAGCAGCAGCATCACTGGCTTTTACTATTTGCTAATGCCCTCTGAAGGCAGGGTAGGACCATCTAAACCAGAGTTTCTCAAACTGTGAGGTGTACGTTGGGGAGGTGCACGCCGAGTCCAGGGTAGGGGTGAAAAGCCCTTGAGTTATACTGCTACCCTAAACCCCCTTCCCCAAAGTTTCGTTGTATTCTTTTCATCGTTCCCTTTGGTGTCTGGATTTTTAGGGCAGGGGTGCCCGTTAAGACCACGCCAAAGGCAGGGGTGAAGGAGAAAGTTTGGGAGCCCCATCCAGACGAACGGAACGGGGCCCAGAGGCGCGCTGCACGCTCAGCAGCTGTGCCAGCGCAGACGGTTTCGCCCTCCTCGGCACGCACGCGGGGACCCGGAGAACGGCTTGCTCCGGGCCCTTCCGGGGCCGCCAAG